CGAACTACCGTTCAACTAACCGGCACAGTGTCCGGTTGAGTCTCCAACGGAACCAAAGTTGATCTTTAAAGGAGTAAAGTTAAATAAAGTGAGAGCACCGATCCACCACCGATCCACCACCGACAGAGCTCCGTTAAACTACCGGATCTTTGAATGGAGTTCAGCAGCAGATCTCCGCTGTCTACCGGAGCCCTGCCCTGCCTGTGGCCGGCTCAGGGTGTGTGTTTCCCCGCAGAGAGGAGCTCACCTGGTCCGCTACATCCTCCGCCTGGCTCATCAGGTCTCCGTGTCCCATCTCCGCTCTTAAGGCACTTCAGTGCGGACCAACGGCTCCCAGCTCAGCGTACAGTCCGGTCAGAAGAGTCCCGGTCCCGGTAGTGAGGATGATGATGCTCCGCTGCTGCCTCCTCCGACCCACAATCCTCTGCGCGGAGCGACCACAGCGCCCCCTGCGGACGGCCGGGGGGGAACATGCCACGTGGACGGAGGCTGTCTGAAAGAGGCTTTTACACATTTAATAAAATATCACTTTAATAACAGTGTGGGGTTGTGACCCTCAACAGATCGATATTAATCAATACACTGAATCAGAAATAGAAAACAGTTTGTAGACACACAGGAGCTCAAACATCTAAAGATTGATAAACGGAGAAACAATTACCTAAACATGTGAATAATGCAAAAAAAAAAGGTATAGATGTTAAAAAAATAAGTGAAAAAATATAAATGGTAAAAATAAAAATAAAATAATAAATGTTTTATCATTAATTCTGCAGTCAGCTGTTTTACATTGTCACTGATTCTGAATCAGTTCTCAGTAGTATTATCTATATATACTGTTATATACTGTATATATTGTACATATTACTCACTGTTATTTGTCTACTTTCTATATATTGTTGATATATATTCATTCTTCTCATTGTTTCTAATAATAACTAAAACAAATATCTTGAGCAACTGTAACTCAACCAGTTTCCCCTTCAGGGATCAATAAAGTATTTCTGATACACAGAAAATTCATCAGACTATTTTGGTCATTTTTAAGATATATATATATATATATATATATATATATATATATTCCAGTTAATGTGTCAGATGATGTGTTTTATATCACAGTTAATAAATAAAATCTGTTCTTTAGACAGTTGGACAGAAGGAAACATTTTATTGATCTAAAGGCAGAATCAATGATATAAAACAGCTGATATATAATATAAACTGACAGTAACTGTTATTTGTTGGCAGCTGTGCAGCTCTTATTGCTTCCATTGTTTGGTTCTGTAACATTACATTGAACAATAGGAACTTTTACGTCTGAGTCAATGTAGAATCCCAGTTTTACTTCTTTAACCAGGTAAAAAACAAACACACACATTAATGTAGAGCTCTGTTCCTTAAGCATCCCATAATACTGCTGTGTGTGTTTCAGTCTCTTCAGTATAAACTTGTGACTTCAGCTCAAGCTGCAGTTCCTCCAGCAGCCAGCAGGTGTCAGTGTCATTATCCAATGAAATCCTCACAGGTACAGGTAGACAGCGGGATGATGTCATCACCTGCATACACAGATGCATTGTGGGATACAGTGTGAGCAGCTCAGGTCAGAGCAGATCTGTCTTCGTCTCCACGCCTCCTCTTAACTCCTCTGTGACTCTGAAACACACAACAACAACAGTGTGTGTGTTCCTGATCAATAATCAATACTCACATTATTAAAGCAAGCAGTGTGTGTGTGTGTGTGTGTGTGTGTGTGTGTGTGTGTGTGTGCGTGTGTGTGTGTGTTACCTGCAGGTTCAGGTAGTGTGTGTGTGTGTGTGTGTGTGTGTGTGTGTGTGTGTGTGTGTGTGTGTGTGTGTGTGTGTGTGTGTTACCTGCAGGTTCAGGTAGTGTGTGTGTGTCCTGCAGTGTGTGTGTCGTGCTGTCGTCTCGCTGTAGAAGAACTTGTTACAGAGTCGACACAGGAAGCCAGAAACAGGAACCACAAAACTACTTCCTGTAGAGAGATTTATTATTATTATTAGATCAATATATTGATTATTGATATTTAGACTCATTCAATCTGTTTGTATGTTTGGATCAATAATTCATATAAAATACTGAACCAGCTGAACAGGTGTTAACACAGAGTGAATACATTAATAATAATAATAATAATAATATTGACAAATGGATGAAAAATCAATAACAAATGGATAAATACATAAGCGTTACTATGGTAACCAGAGGACCTTACCATATGTGATCTGAGGGTCATATTCATCTGTGTGTGTCTCCGGTGTGTCAGCGGCCTGCAGCACACACACACACACACACACACACACACACACACACACACACACACCGTTATCTTTCCACAGTGACGGTTATGTGACAACGTTTGTCTTAAAAACAAATATTAAAGTAGTGAAATTAATTATGATTTAAGGAGTCAATCAGTCTTTGTACCTCTTTCTCCTCCTCTCCTCCTTCTTCATCAGCTACTTCTACTTCTTCCTCC